ATATATATATATATATATATATATATATAGTAACTCCGTTTCTGTGTGTATATGTTGAAGCTTCAAAAAATGTAATGTTTATAGCATTTCCTAACTCTTACTGCACATGCTTAGCATATCGTGCAATGTTTGACCATGGAGAGAGTCAGTTGCACACAAAATGTGAACCTGGATAAATTTATAGATGTCAGGTGGTGTTTGTTGTAATGTACAAAAAAGTAAGACATTACAATAGCCACTGTAAGATTTACATATTTTGTAGTGTTTTCAGGTTTGCCGATTATCTACAGGTAAGAGTACCTATAAATAACGATAGGTTCGAGTAAGAAAAGATGTACAGAGTTAAAGCTGAAAATTTTACACAAATGAGTTGCAGAAGAGACACAGTACTATCATCCTTTATTTACAAGTTAAAAATATTGAAGAGTGCACTAGATGGCGCTTCTTAATAATCGGAAGAAAAATTTTAAAGAAAATCTTATAGAGACTGTCTAAAAGACAGAGAATATGACACATAAAAACAATTTAGCCATCTCTCTCACAGCACATGTGCTACTCAAGTGTCCAAGTGAAATGATATAGAGAATACCTCCGGACATTTAAAAACTAACCACAAAATAAAATCAGTACGAAACAAGGAGTATTTCCTATGTGTGAAAATCTACAAGTGTTCTAAAAGCATGTATATCTGAAATGTTTTGTAAGGTCTAGAATTACCATTCTAAGCTAAAAGAGGAGGGAAAATAAAGCATCGACAGGTACCTAAGCTCTGCTTAAGTTTGTTAAATTATAAGAACTTGTGAGTGAAAGTAGAGAATAATATATTTATATGTCAATCACACTGTATTTGTTGTATCCAGTACATGGTCACACTTGGTGTGTTTAGTTAATGTTAATGTGAACCGAACGAGACCTAGTTGTTAACATGCCCAGGCTGTGAATCCAAGAAGTCTTGGTTTGTGACCTTTTATTGCAAAATAGACACTCCACACGTTGGGACCATGTATGCATTATAAGAGTTGTGGTGGGTACTGATGTCTAACTGACTTCCCTCTAATTTATTAGTTCAAAATTAGGAATGGCTATGTGCAGAGAGACTTTTTGTAGATTTGAAAGTAATTATGAAACAAACAGATTAAATATACTGAGCTAACTGAACCTTGTAAGATGATATTGGGAAAATGGTTTAAAATATCTTTAATAGCAATTGCGTCCAAAAATAATTCAATCTAATCACATTTAGCAATCTGTAACTGCTGTATATTACGAATCGCAGTATTATAAGTTATATATATATATATATATGATATTGTTATTTGTTTAATTTAGATGTTAACTAGAAGGAACGTGACATTAACATTAAGCAAGTTTCACAAATAGTTAATGTTGTAATTTGTTTAATTTAGATGTTAGCTAGCGGCGCCTGACGTTACGATCAAGCAAGCACTAGAAATTTCTATAACAATAGTAGAATATAAATACGACGTTCTGTGCCATAAAGCATTGAGAGACTAGTTAAAAAGTAGGGATGGACAGTTAAGCACGTAGATAGAGTTGAATCACTAAGTGTGTTTGATATCGCGCTTATTGAGTTACTTTGCACAAGTAAGTTTATCTGTTTTACGTTAGATAACGTCATTTGTAACGTAGGCTTTCAACAATTTATGACAGTGTACAAAATGTAAAAGTTTGTAGAGACGTTAAATGAGGAAATAAAATAATCTGTTCTTGTCATATGGACTGAACGTTGAATTATTTTCACAAGATTATTTAAAAGAAACCACCAATGAAATAACAACAATGTAGTAAGTTTAACTGTTGTTATTAATTTGTTGGTTTTCGTATGTAGTTACTGGAGGGTTGCTTGTACTAGCCGTCTCCAAAGTGTGCAGTGCGATTTTTTTTAAAACTGTTCGCGAACCACGGGACCTTAGGTTCACAGTCCAGCATGTTAACCATTGGATAGCACTTAGTCTCAATGGTTAGCTCTTTTCCTCATTAGATTGTTTGCTTTGGTCAAAAGTTTCGATAATAACGAATTTAGGTTTAATTTTGTATATATTTTAAAGATGAGTAAAAAAACTGTTTCATTACATTATATTTCTATTTATCTATATATATAAAGATGAAGTGTGTATTTGTTTGCACCCTAGCTCCTCCGAGCCTATTGGGCCAATCTCAACTAAAATTTGTATGTAAACACTAAGAACAACGGATAATGTCATAATGAAGTCAAAATTGAACTTATCCCTAGTTCTATTTTGTAAAGTTTGTTGGTTAAATACTCACATCTTATTGAATTAATCTCAAAGAATCTTGGCAGGTTGACGCTGTATACAATGCTGAATATTCTAAAGGGATTCAAGGTCAAAATATGAAAGTTGCTGAACTGTTTCACAAACAACCATGCTTTTCTCATAGTCAATAAGATGTAGCGTGGGATAACCTCAAAATATTTATTTGTTTGGCAGATAGAAAGCAAACTGCAAATGTTTATGAAGAAGCTTTGTTATAATTTTAAATTTTTGAGATAAAGTTTATGTTCAAGTTATTACTTTGAAATATACGATGACTGCTGTTAAACTTACATTTTTTAATTAAGTTTAAACATTCCCTGTCAGTTGACGGGTATTTCAGCTTGTTTCTCATATATATTTAGAATATTTAACGTACTTCTATCAACAATTGATCATTATAACTATATTTGAATAGGTAGCGCTGTTGATTAGCTTAGACCACATTTGTCGAAGTCAGGTGGTGTGTGTTTGGCCGTGTTTCACGAGTTTACGTCTTTAAATAGGACCGGTTCTGGGTGTGGTGTAAAGCTATGTTTGGGTCCATCAAAATATATCACTTTTAGTAATTTATTCGCTTTGAAATTGAAAAAGCTGTAGGAGTAAGAAAATATAAATCTTTAAAAACGAAAGCACCTAGAATATAATAACTATAAATATAAATTAATCATAGATTCATAGAAAATTATTATAAAGTTATACTTATAATCTGATAACTTGTAGTTGTAACTTCAATGTAAGTTGTAAGGAACAGTAGTACTATTAATACTAGTAGTATCACTGTCACTTATGGAAAACCCAAACAGTTTGTCTACTACAGCCGTTGTTAATTCAACTGGCGTTTATTCCCCTTCTCCTCCAAGTTCAGATCCTTCTAATCGTGCTGGTGTGATTGTATCCTTGATTAAGATGTTTTGCAAAGGAGCATCAGTAATCTCTGGAGCTTATTTATTTGGAGTATTTGGGATCAGTCCATCATGGTTATTAATGGGATTAGTGATGTGGATGGTTAGAGAAAACCACTTGAAGAAAAAGCAGGATCGTATTGCTCACAATCAAGCAGCTGTAACTAATGAAAAAGCTGCAGTTTTAGCTAGATTAGAGGACTTACCTTCCTGGGTAGGTTTGATTGATATTGATCATTTTGTTTAATTCTAGTATCAACATTAATAAATGGGGATTTTATCAACCTCTTTGCAATGCAATATATCCTTTTATCAAATATATTTCTCCTTGTAATAATGGCCAGTGGAATAATTTAACTGGCACTTATGAATTCAGCATCTGACATCTAATCACTGTATTTCACTCATTTAGTTTAGATTCTTAAAGATTAATTTTTAAAGCAAGATGCAAAATCTTGGATAGGTTTTGTAACAGTTTGTTATACTTATTTATTTATAACATGCTAGGATTAAAAGCACAGTTTACTTTCAGTATTTCATTGGTACAACTTTGCACAATACAAGAAACAGATCCTCCTTCACGTGTAGCCTCACCAAATTAAACACTAATTTTTTAATGTGCAGACATTTGGAACAACACGGTATCCTGCCTGAAACACAGCCTTCATGATTTGAACTTTTATACTTGTCAGTTAATCATGTATTAATTACACATTTGCAACACCCAGTTATTGAGCCATGTTTTAACAGATTTTACATTTTTTCATGCTTTTAAAATATACCTTTCTTCCTATACATATAATTCCAAACTTAACTCTGCTGACTTTATATGTTGTAGAATATTTACTTTATACTTATTAGTAACTAGCCTGTTCTTGTTTACTAATAGTTTTGTGAATATCACCTCTGGACCAGTAATGATACATAGTATTGTAATACAGTACTTGAGTCTGCTGTCTAAATAACATAATAAAAAGACAACAAGGGTTTACTTGCTCCTTGAAGGCTATTTATGCCCACCTATCCCAAGAAAAATTAAACCCGTTGATTAGTTTCAGGAAATCATCAATTCCTCTCTTAAACCCTAGTTAGATGCCAGCTTCTTTCATTGCTGATGGAAATTTATTCCACGAGTTAATCACCCTGTTTAAAAATGAAACTGATTTAAATGGACCCCTATCTGTCATTTCTAAGTCTTAAACTTGATCCTCTTGTCTTATTGTTTTGAGAAATCAGCAAAAAAAAAATTATTATAGATAGATTTCTAAATTTTTAATAGCTCTATTGATCAGCCATTCACTCAGATGAATGTTGAAAATTTTTTATCAGTAATTGTGTTTAAATGTTTTTATGTTTCCATAATACACATATTCCTTGCATACAAGTGCTTTGTTTTTCCAAAATTTCTTACCTTAAGTGTATCACTTTATACTTCTCAATGTAAAAACTTGGATATATAATCTTAAGTTCTTGCAAGCCATTGCCATAGGAAGCAATTTTGGAATCTACAGTCACATAATATTTCTCCAAAGCATGCCAGTTCTAAGGGTCTAAGAGAGGAAGGGAGTCTGAGGCAATACCCCCAGAAAATTGAAAATTTAATACTATGAGATTGAATCGTCAGTCATTGTAACTACATGTATTGCATGTATATACAGTGTAACATATTGAATGTAAAGAAGCAAGTTTTAGTACATAAGTTGTAGCTATACATGTTATGAAAAAGTGGTCAGGCCATTGCCTGACTGGCCTTACCATTTACTATGCCCTTGCAAACTGATTGAGAATCTCAGTGTTCTGTCTTGAAAAAAGAATTTCCACAGTAGTACAGCATAGTATCATTAACAAAGTTGAATAACATATTGTCTGAATTGGTATCCAAATCAATGACAAATGTAATATGTCCTTTTTTCTTTATAACTTTTGACCATTATCGTAAACTTTTTAAGCAAATATTTTCCAAGAATGTTTGAAAAATTGACCATAGTGCCATGTACAAAACAAACAAATCTGTTTTTGAAATAGTTTTTAGAATATTTGTATCTAATCAGTTATATGTATGTATATTTTATATATGTGTGTGTGTGATCACTACCACCAGATTTTAACATCTGGCTTAGAATATTTTATATCAGTAAGTTTATCCCCCCCCCTCTCAAAGGACACTAACTTGTTGCAATGAATATTTGAAATCTACATCCTGTTTTTGTCTCAAATTAAAAAGAAAATTTGTTTTGTAAAAGAAAATGTTAAAGGGAAATTAAATTTTATTATATTTGCAAGTTGATTATAAACTTAAAATCTCTTAAACTGTTTTCATTAAGGATGTTAGGAGCTAATGTGAGAATTATTACATGCAGTGAAGTAATTTAGGTGTTTTTATTTCTATAAGTGAGATCAAAGAAAGAGAGTGAGTTTTTAACAAAGAAAATATACCCAAATAAACAAAGAATATATATATACAAATAAGGAAAGTAAAAAAATAAACAACAAACTAAATAACCCTTTGATTAGAAATTTCACTCTCCGGACACTTTTTTCTAGTCAAGGGTTAGCTGATGTTTGTGTTACGACAAAGAGCACACCCATGTAATAATTATTGAGTAATTTTACTCATACAAATACATACTATTGTTGTGTTAATTCACCATACTTGTAGTAACTAGTGATCATACAGATATGTCTATAATCTCAAATTAATGCTTACATCACTTGAAATTTTAGGTCTACTTTCCTGATGTTGAGAGAGCAGAATGGATAAACAAGGTAAAAAATGTCTTTACAAAATGATAAATAGTTTAATTCATAGGAACCAACCAGTTAACAAAACTGCTTCTTGCAGTTTGGTTTTAGTTTTGATTTAAGGCTATGAGTTTTATTGTCTTTCTTTTCTGTGTTAAGTTATAATATTTAAAAACGAATTTTAGAGCTACTATTTACCATATAGTTTTACAGAAAAACTTGTATAAATGAAGTAATAAATGGTATTAGAGTATCTAGTAAAACGTAAGTAACTAACTAATGGTTAGTCTTAGGTGACTGTGTAGACTACTTACTACAAGAATGAAAAAAGAGAGACATTATTCAGTTTATTATTATGTGTATATAAACTATTAGTTTTCAGAAAGAGAAGCTAAACTATTTTTTTCTTTTACTGCTAGGAATAAATTTATTTGTCATTATTGTTCTTACAAGTTACAGTACATGAGGAGAATAGTAGACATTTGGAATTGTACTAAAGATATTGAAATATTACTGAGGTATTCAGACTACTTGTTAAGCTGGGATAATATTTGGCAGATGCCTTTTAATTAAAGTCAGGCTATCCATATTCATTATCTTGTAGCCTTGCAGGAAGAACTGTTAGCAAAGTTTGGGAAGAAAAAGATTTGTGCACCACAAACTGTAAGAACTGTTTCTAACATAATGATGCATCTTCTTTTTCCAGTTCAGTATGAAATTTAGTGTGAGGTGTTTGTACTGTTAAAGTTATTTCTTACTATTCAGTGGAATTACAGCTTGCATGTACAGGTATGATACCTTCTAGACAATTTACTTTAGCTTGTGATAAAGCAGTCAAGATTTCTAGATTTTATACACACAAATATTAAGTCAAATGCTAGGTAAGGTGTTGGTTAGACTTTACTTGGAGTATTGTGTCCAGATTTAGCCACCTTATTTAAAAGAGAATGTTGAGTTGTTGAAGAGAGTTCATAGTAGAGCTGCCACAAATATTTTGGGTTCGGAGGGGTTATCTTAAGGGGATTAGTTGCGATTCCATGACACATTTTTGCTGGAGAAGAGAATGTCTCAGGATGGTATGATTGAAGCTTGTAAGAGTGTTAGAAGTTTGAAATCCATAAATATGAATGATGGTTTTAGAATATTTGCATACATTAAGATTAGACAATGCAAGTTTGTGTGGAAAACTTGGACTTTACTTCAGTTAGTGTTAGCTTTCTAACAGAAAAGTCATAGTCAGTCTGTGAAGTAGTTTACCTAAGTATGCCAAATTTATCCTTGTTATCCACTGGAATGTGCTATGTGTAAACTCACTGTGATAGCATAGGAGACAAAATTGTTAAATAGTATAGATTAACTCCAAGGTACAAAATCCAGTGACTCTTCAACTATTTTATAAAGAAATGGGTTTTTATAAAACAGTGTTTTTTCAGCAAGAGGATGGTAAACTTCAAGGACTAATGTTGAACTTATTCAAAAATAAAGAGTATAGACTTAGCTTATATTTTTATTATTAAATGTTGAGCTAGATCACCAAACTAAACTTGACTATAAACAGCCTCTAAATGTTGTTTTACATATATGCCTCTCTTATTTGATTATTTTTTTAAATCAATTCTGGTGTTATTGACACTTGCCACTTCTGTTTTAATTAACCTTTTGCTGTCTGCTTTTATAAAGAGCTTCCTATGTGGTTAAAACTTAGTTTATATCCTTTGAAAGCTTCATAATTAAGAAATGCAAAATAAAAATATATATTGTAGTGGAACTTAATGGTTCATAGGTATTATTAACATTCAGTTAACATTTATCATTTGTAGATCCTACACAAAATGTGGCCTTATATTGGTCATTACGTAGAGGATCTTTTGAGAACCAAAGTGGAACCAAGTGTTCGTGAGAGCTTGCCTTCATACTTACGGAGCTTTAGATTTGAAAAGATAGTCCTTGGAGACATGGTACAGTGTTTTTTTTTTACATTAATAAGCTTCTCTTTTAAGAGCCCAAGCTGCTGTGTAATCATGCACAGTCTTAATAAACATTATTCTTAACTCTTGTAAAATTAGTAAGGATGTGTTTTAGTTAGACATGTACTTTTGTGAATATGAATTATAGTCATGCAAGTATACTTCTGTATTCATTGTAAATGATACTTTAATACACAAATCCAAGTTTTAATATAGGTCTCACTTTATGAAAAGACCGGTATTGTTTTGTGTTTGCCATAAATTTCAATGGAAAAAGTTATGATTATGTAAAAATGTACGGTCATATTCAGTAATCAATTCTTTAATAAAACAATTTTAATATGAGTAGTATTGCTATTTCATTATATATCTAATCCATGTAATGCAAGAGAAAATTAAAATGTATCACTTTTATTAACACATGAAATTATATATTTTACAAATTTTCACATAAAATTTGGGATAAGCAGTAGCTGTTGAATAGTGTGTACAACAAAAGTGCATTAGGTCTAATTTGAAAATAACTCATTTTGTGGGAAATCGGTGATTTTAGACACCATTCAATTGAGTTAGATAATCGTGTTTATGACAAATGAAACTTGTAATTGTAAGTTGAAAATAATTAAATTTTACAAAAAGTATTTCATTGTACATTTATATCCTTTTACCAGATATTAGTTACTGTAGTTAATGGTTCACAGTATAATATGAATGGTATAAAAAATCATTTTAATGTGGAGCTTGTTCTTGTATGTGTTAAATAACATAGCCGGATATTCAGTTAAGGAATTTCTACATCACCATGGAAAGTGTTTTCATGTTAACTTATTATCCTGTAAAACATAAAATCCAAGGCATTAATGTATAAGAGCTAACTGAATTTATAGTTCAATGTGTTTTCAAAATAAGTTTTAAATTTTTTGTATGTGAAAACATGTAAATGGCAGTAGTTAGACTAAAGATGAGTTTTTACTTATTTTTATATTGTAGTTACTTGGTCATATATAAAAACAATCACAACAAAAATAGATTAAATACATTTATCGTAAAATACAATACATACAGTTTTTAGTAGACCTATATTATAATTATTTATAATGTAGAATAAGGCCTTCATTATAGAAACTGAAACATTATTCTACTTTAGAAACAGGCAGGAACAGCCCATTAAAACCGAATCTCCACTGTATTTATAATATAGTTTCTTAAACTTGTATTTCATCATATTGTCTGTTTTTTGACAATATATACTGGTGCAGGATGTATCTGCCCTGCATTTACAATTGAGTTATTACTTCTGCTCTTAATACCAGTTACAGGTATTGTCCTGTTCTTATGGTTGAGTTGAGGCAACGACATGACCCTGTAATGCCATGTTCAGTTTGTTGTACTTCTTGCTCCTATGGTGGTTGTGGGAGTTTGTCGGGTTTCAGCTTATTGCTAACTTCCTTTTTCATAATTCCGGTTGCTTGACGTATGACACTGTTTACTTACGGTTAGTATTAGTGTGTGTATATATAACATGGTCCACATACCCTAGCCACAATGTTTATGTTACTCTAATTTTGTTTTTATCTGAGTGATCCTCAACCTCCTGATGCTGAGGATGGGTTGTGGAACCTCATCTGTCTGTTGATGTTGGATAGATACTTAACCAAGGCTAGTTATTTTTCTCAATCATTACATTTTGGCAAACTGTCCCTTAACTTGCCATTTCTTCTCATGTGGGTATCGAGTTTTCGTTTCATAGAGTGCCTCTTCACCTGTGAGAGCCGGCTGCTTTCCTGTCTGGTTTATGTGATGGAGGATGATTTGCATTCACATTATTTTTTACTATATAATGAATTAAGCTTGTGCACATCCATTTTCGCTGTGAGTGCAAGTTTATTTCATTCTTATGAGGCAAAGAGTATACCTGTTCCAGAAGTAGTGCAATGCCCACACGTGTGCTTCGGT